AAAAGGCAATTTGTTTTTTTTTTTTTTTTTTTTTTTTCCAGGCGATATCGGTCGGTCTATTCCGCGCCGTACGTTATACGGGGGAAAAAAGGCGTACGCGGAGGAATCCCCGGCCGACCGAATCCCGAGGCGGTCTATCATTTTCTTCGTTTATCCGCGCGTCTCCTGTACGTGCGCCTACGTATACATCTCCGGCAGCAGCAGTCCGATATTATTATTATTATTACTATACCGCGCGATGCGAGACAAGACAAAACGGTACCGTGAGTGATGTGCGACATGACGGACGACCGAAATTATATATTAAACGCGTTTAATTTTCGTCGGGAGAGATTTATACTTGGTTTCGATCTCGTCTTCTTTCGGGCGTACCGCGGGTATATATCACAGCAACATCACGAGCGGTACTATTATACACACACACACACACACACACACACACACGCACGCACGCACGCACGCACGAGACGGACGGGGCAGAGAGGACGCGACGAGACTCGCGCCGGTTAAATACGCGTTCCGAAACGACGTAATAACAATAATACGTTCGATGTAAAATCATAGAGGATATGTAATAACGCGCGAAACGAACGGGAAAGTGTTCGTGTTCCGAGACCGGCGAGGAACGTATCGGTTTTACTGCGACGTGACGTGTGCGGTTTTTGATTTTGTTTTTTTTTCTCGCGTTTTCGAACGGTACATTTTTCTACCAGAAAAGTTACACCGGTCGGAAAACGACAAGAGCGCTTTTTTTTTTTTTTGTAGTTTTTAGATCTAGTTGTTCTATGATGTTCTTTCCCGTCCCTTCATAGTTTTTGTCTTAATTGGGAAACCATAAATCATTGCAAACGAAAACAAATGATTTCGAACGGGGTCCGCTGGGCAATTATTCGTCTCAGAAATGTTGCCAAGTCCTTCTTTTGAAACGTGTAACATCACAAATTGTGTTTCATTTAAGTACGTTTAACATCTCTGCAACCGTATTTCAGCCGCAATAATGTCTTTCACAAATCATCTTTTAAACATTGCATTTCGACATTCGTACAACAGTTTTATCACATTGCTTGTTAAAATTACGTTGATGAGATGTCCCCAGTACTGCTAATAAAGCGTATTTGCAACTTAATCAGGTACGTTTTAGAGATGTTTATTTCTAACATACCAAGAACCGCAAAATAGTGTTTATAAAACAACATTGAATATGAAAATACGAAAAATAAAAATTAAAAAACCGGAATCTTGTTCGCGAAAAGACCAAGACCGCGGTTTTTTGCGGAGCGATCTGAAGTTCGATATCTACAAGCCTCTGGAGGCTGCTATTTCCAAGAGTGTTTGTAATCGAATAACGTCCTCGGCGGTTGCGATTATTACGACGTCATTAGCAAATGCTAGAAATTTCATTCCCGCGGGCAACCGGAGCATCAGCAAGCGATCATACAGGATGTTCCACAGAGTTGGGTCAATGACCGAACCCTGTGATGCTTCACAAGAGATCTGCTCTCTTACAATTGGTTTATTGTTAACCTGATATTCAACAGTCCATTAGTCCATTAGGTAGCTGTCTATTAACTGGCACAAGTACTGCGGGATGCATTTTTCTCTGGTTGCTTCTAATATTTTGGTCCAAGGAGCCGCCCTCATTCGAATTTTCCAGGAATGTTCTTACCCTGCTATTCAAAATCTTCTCAAATAATTTACTCGGGCAATCTAGTTGGGCGGTACGCTGATAGATCATCTTGGAGTTTGTTTCCTTTTTTCGGCAAGATAAGCTCTCTTCCAGACCTCGGGGAAGCATTGCTCCGCGATTCGTTATAAAAAAGTAGAAGTGCCTGTGGTTATTGTTCTGTTAATATTCTCATCGCCTCGTTAGTTATACCATCCAGGCCCGATGCTATGTTTCTTTTAATGGAATTTACTGCTATTTTTAAATCTTCCAGCGTTACTACCTCCCTCACGTGCCATGGGATCCGCAGGCCAGTATATCACTGCGCGTGGTGAATGAACGGGAAATAGGCCTCTAATAATCTGCTGTACCTTATAGCTAATAATAATCAAACTTACCCTGCTATCCAAAATCAGCCGCTACGCTGATGCGAGACCGACGATGCGATATCCGGGTATGACTATGACTACGACTACGACCACAAGACTATGACTTTTAACTATGAATTAAAAAATGACTATGACTAAACCAATAACTAGACTACATCAACGACTACGACGACGACTACCACATGGCAAAACGAATACATCGTCAACTACAACTACAACTATGGTTACACGACAATGACTACACGACTACACGGTTAAACGAATACTCCGACGACTACGAATACACCGACGACAACTACACCAACGACTAAACAACAAGTAAGCCTTTGTCTTTGTCTTTTGCCTTTGCCTTTGACTATGACTTTGAAATTGACTATGACTATGACTATGACTTTGACTATGATTATGACTTTGACTATGACTATGACTTTGACTACGAATAGGACTACATGACTATAGCTACACGACTATGACTACACGTCTACACGTCTACAATTACGACAATGACTTACTAGTTTTACCCAACGTATATGGAGAAAAACCTCATTATATGTGAGGCATTATATATTTCTGTTTTCTATGATTTTTCTAAAGATAACTCGTCAACAGCCACTCCTTTTCTTTTAGCACGTATAGATCTGTATATCTGGGTCTTAAATACCTTACAATCCACATTTCGAACATCATCTATATTTTATAGTTGATAAAGTTTATAAATTATGCTATAATTTATATCGTATTCAAATTTAGTTCAATCTTGTTGGAATGTAGATAAATGATTTTCCTTGAAATTACCAAAATTCACTACTGCTTTATTCTTCTAACCAGCATAATCGCTGCCGAATCAGTCAATTCTTTTGTTTGGACTGTTGTATTATTCACTTATATTATTTTACTGAATTATAAAAAAAGATAAGCTTTTGTAGGTCTTTATGAAGAAAGAAGGCTACAAGGAATATTATAAAATTACCATAATCTCTAGTATTTATATATCATAATATAAGCACAGTGATACTTTTTTTCTACTTGCATACTTTTAAAATCTACAATCTACTCAATTTTTGAAACTTGCCGCAGAATTGCTGAATCGCCTTGTCTCAATCAATAATTAAATTCTGGTATAATGGCGTAGTGATATGGGGAGAAGTAGCACAAATTTATATAATTACATAAATTACATACAGGTAGCACAGCACACCTGCGTAAACTATAGGATTTATCTCAGTAAACAACTTTCAAGAATCTGAGCGGAATTCAGTTGATAGTGATGCTCTATCAACAATATATATGTCATATTACGATAAAATAATTAAATAGGCATTAATATTATTTTCTTTGATAATATTTATTTAATGTACTGATTTTCTCGGTTTTTCTTCGTTTTTCTCGGTTTCCTATGTTTTTTCTCGATTTTTCACATTTGTTGGGGAAACTTTAGGGAAAAATAAAAAATAACCTCCCTAAAGTATCTTCTCAATCAGATTTCTTTTCGGAAAAAGTACTTTCATTGTAAACCGGAGCAAAATTGCTTGTAAAAAACTTTTCACAGGAAAAAAAAGGTTGTAATATTTTTTAAATAATACCTATAGTTCATACATTTTCCCGTTTTTCCTCAGTTTATTTTTCGGATTTTCACATTTAATGGAAAAAATGAAAAAAAATGACTTCTTTAAAGTACCTCGCCAATCATATTTTCTTTCAGAAAAAGTGCTAGATTTAAAAATCGGAGCAAGATCTCTGGTAAAAAAGTTGTCAACAAAAAAAATAAACATCTTTGTAAAACCATAAGCTTCCACTCAGAATCTAATAAACATTACTTATATCAAAAAGTACCGCAAAATATTATGTCAGCTATCCGTACCAAATATTGTCAACAATAATTTGTAAGTAAAGAAATGGTTATTAGACACTGAACGAAGTCGGTATTATGGTTTTTGTCAATAGTATACAAACAAAATTACTTTATTTATATATTCCTAGGTATGTATTACTAAACTCAAATCCTATTATCATTCATATTATTTTTATACTAGGTTTTCCCGTATCAATATTGAATAAAAAAAAAAATGTTAAAAAATTAAACTATGTTTATCCGTGTTTCCCCGTTTCCACAGAGTACCTATTATCATAGTTAATCGTTGTTGCCTAGTAATTTTGGGGGGTATTTCTTTGCCTGTGACAATCAAATAAGTTAATAATAACGATTTTTTTTTCATTCGTATCACCAAGGTAAATCATAAAATAATTCGATTTTCGTATTATAAATAACAATTATCTAGTGTCATATTATGTTATTCTTGATCTAGTCATACGTCTATGCAAAATTTCACTTCAATCCGTTCTGCAGTTTGGACGAAAGATGATAGACATTCATAAATACATAAACCATAGAACCGAACAAACGTTCACATTTATAATATTGTAAATAGGATAGGATCTATAAGATTTTTTTGATTTTAATTTTTTATTCCTTTAGAGTCTAGAGGTCGGAAACCCGCGGCTCCTAAGCATACAATCTGAGGCTCTTTGGGAAATGCATCATTATCTAGACATGCTTGAATGAAGTTGAAAACTTCACACTACTTTCTAGATTTAAATAAACTGTGCACAGAAATTCAGTGTCAAAAATTCCAATCATTACGTAGATACGGTTTTATTGTGTGTGTGTGTGTGTGTGTGTGTGTGTGTGTGTATTATATTGTTTAATTAAATAATATATAATATTTGTATAAACAATAACATTAATAATTTAATAATGCGTAATAGTAAAAAATTTATGAAATAAAGTTTTTCTGAATTTAAAACGTATTATTATGTTTTTAATGCCTACCAGTTCCCAATGAAATTACTTAGTAAAAAATATATTAGTCATTTTTTATACTATGGTATGCTATTTTTTTACCTTAACATCGCGGCTCTTCGATAGTCATGATTTTGCATCTTTTAAAAAAATTGGCTCGTTTACACGAAAATGTTTTAGACTTTAGAGGCTCTCGACCATCAAAACGAGGATTCGTTCTACCTTAGTAACAGGCGATATAGAAAAGTTGTGAAAAGTTGTAAATGTGTAAACTTGTAAAAATCAATACTCCTGAATATAATATAGGTATATTAAGTAATTATTAGGGAGACGTGAGTTTGGTAAATTTTACCGATGTTTTTAACATGTTTTCAATAAAGTTCCTAATTAAATTATAAGTTCAATCAATTTTACGAAAAAAAAAAAAAAAAAACCTATCTACCTAATTCCGGGCTCTACAAAATCATTTTTTTCGTTATGTATGAAATACAATAATTTAAATTTGATGGCAATACCTTGGTTTGGTTGTATGATTATAATTTTATAAGTAACAATTAAAAATAACACAACGGTTATAATTTTCGTTAGACGTTCACGATTTATTCTAAAGTTCAACTATCTAGTTTCTGTTAGTCTTCAATAATAGGTATTATTTACATATTTACAGAGAAAATCAGAGTTATACTTAGCCACATAATCGTAATTTAATATTCTTTTTCAATAATTCCTCAAGTCGATGATATAAATTCGATATAAATTACAAATTAAAAATATTTAAAAAAAAGTGTGTTTGGACAAATTTTCACCTCATGAAATACTTTTTTGTAGAATAGAAACGGGAATATAATATACGTATACTTACATGAGCCACTGAAGGAAACGGCAATTTTGAGACTAGGTAATTGTTGAAGATTTGACGGCCGAATAAAAAGACGTTGTGCAATGAAAAAATTATACGATTGAAAAATATAAAAAATATAGTTCAGTTTCGGAAAAATAAACATTGTCGTAACCATACATTTGGAAAGCGTTGTATTGCGTAACAATGTTTTACAAACAAATACTCAAGTCCGTTATAAATTGTATTATTTTTCTATTTATTTTATCGTTTATACCCGTAACCAACGATAAACGGTTGCTAACGAAAAACTATAAATTGTATACGTTGTACGGATGTCGTAAGTTTATAATATAGTAACAATTAAAAGAAAACCTCCTCAAGCGGTCTTAATAATATTGCAATGTGATGTTTCGAATGAAACGCAAAACATACATCGCCGAAATGTTAGGCAACATAAAATGTTTAGTGTTTAGTGTTTTTTTTCCATTTTTACCAAAGAACCTCATGAAATCTACATCAAATTTCCCATTTTTCACAATTGTTTCAGAAGGCGACAATTAAAATCGAAAATTTAACCGAAAACAATTTTAAAATTTCACAAAAAGTTTCTAAAAGGTTTCAACCATCGCACAGAATAAGAAACACGTCGCAATAAAACCGTTACGGCATTATATATTCGTTACTGCGCTCAACGTCTGATATCATACCGTTAAAAACGATTTTCAAATGGTTTTTTTTTTTTTTCGTATGATGGACATTTCGATTTCAGCAAAATACACGTCAAAATGTCAATAACATTATTGTACCAAACGTACGGAAATTCGTATATCGCCGATTATATAAACTCGTACAACAGATGTAGATACCGTAAAATGTTACACTCAATTTTAGTTGTTAATTTCACTCTGGATACGTGTGTTTATAACTATCGTTCGAACATTCTAAATGTTTTTCGTACTTACAGTCGACGAGTACCTATATATATATACATTAAATTTTTTAATTGCCCAGAGGCATTTTTATTTAATCGATAAAAAAATCTTTATAAACGAAAACCAATAGGAGTACTAATATACATACATATATATATATATATACAAAA